TACAACTGGAAGAGATTTCCAACTGGCTTAGAACGCTCGAGCACGATCAGCACATTCGAGCTCGCCAAAAAGCTTACGAAGACATGTACTGAAGGAATTTATTCAAATATGAATAGTTAAACAGTTTATACGTTGCTAGAGGGAGATTCATAAGTCGACTGACGAATCTTCCTCATTTCCGGATTAAGCAAAGTCATCAGGACTATATGTTCATTAACGAGACCCAAAAGGAACCGATTAGTTCATGGTAAAACGATCCGTTAAATAAATTCTAGACTGAGTCAAAATCGTGCATACGACTGTAATAGGAGGCTGAGAACGCCGACATCCAGCAAGGAACTGAGAGATGGCTCACCTGTAGCATTTTGATTAGATCACTCAGAGAGAACTGTGGCGCATCAGGAGGTATAGCAACAGTCCACGGATCCCAGATAGAAACTGTGAAACCGTTGGGCAGGCTCCGGCTTTTACAGGGCACGGGCCTGATCGAAAAGAAGGAGGGCGCTGCGAGGTTGACAAAATAATTTCGAGCAACCTCTATCAAAGTCGCAGGTGGAATGTCGTGAGGTTTCGGCGACAGGGTGGCGAGCAAAGAGAAATATTTGAGTACCTCCACACAAACGAGACCAGAAATTACTGCAGTAGTTGTCGCGATCGCCGGTATGATCCGACCCGCAATACGCTTCACTTCATGACGCGGCGTCAATGGGATACCATACATGAGAGCACGAAGATTCTAGGAACATCGAAAAACACGCGGAAAGATGCTTTTAATACGAATGAAATAAGCTATTAAGGCAAAAACATTATAAATAACAGAAAAACTACAAGGTCGGCAATTTGAACTTGCGTTACAAGAAAAGATACTCTAAACAGTCTTCTCGTGACGCAATACAGGGTATTATTTGTTTGAGCACCGATCTATTCCTCAGGATGCGCCCATCCTGGGATAATGCTTTGCTTTGCGGAACACAGTTGGTTGATCCGACTCGCAAAAGCATTATCCCAGGA